CAGAATAAAGTCATACTGTAATTTGTTGTGAGTTCATGCATTGTGTTGGTTTTGTTCTGTGAGCAAGGTGATGTTCATGCACGGCTCATTTATACACCAGTAAAAAAAAACAACAACAACATATACCTATGGCCAGAATAAAGTCATACTGTAATTTGTTTTGAGTTCATGCACTGTGTTGGTTTTGTTCTTTGAGCAAGGTGATGTTCATGCACGGCTCATTTAATACACCAGTAAAAAAATAAATAAATAAAAACATATCTTGAATTTGGAAAAAAAAATCATATTTTATTTATCACTAAAAAGGGTTCAGTGAATGCGCATATGAAACCGGTGGGTTCGGTGCCTCAAAAAAGGTTAAGAACCACTGGTCTAAAGTGTGTTTGTTTGTACGTAAACAAACAACTCAGAATTGACAATAAAAACATAATTTTGCTCATTTATAACAAATGATGCTTTTGGTAGTTAATGGTGCATATTAAGTAGTTGTTTTTGTCATTGATTTTACACATAAACAACAAATTTAAATTAAAACATTGAACAATGACATACTTTGACAGTATGAGTGTACATAAAATTTAATTAAACCTACTGTGTTGACTGCAACAAGTGCAAAAGCATAACCTTGTTTCTAAAGTCAAACACACAGTTCAAATTTTGACCATCTTTAGATGTAAACACAGTCAAGATGAAGAAAATCAGACTCGTAACTCTTAAGAAAATTAAAAGTGCATGAGCACTGTCACCTTTTCTTCTTTCTTTTCTTTAAGATATTCCTCATTCCCCTTCTCTGAAGACTCCTCCAGAGGAAAAAGGTTGAGATGCTCCAAGTGTGCTCCGCTTTGTTCATCTTCATCATCATCTCTCCTTCCTTCTGCTGACGGGAGAGTAGCCCGTGCCTTTCTTCTCAGGAACTCTGTGCGTGCCTGTGGAGATTAAAAAACGTTATTATAAACTAAAAATACTGTGTTAAGAATAATTAAAGCTTCACAGCAAAAGTATTCCATAAGCAGGAGGTTTTGATATTTCAACATTATCGCCTTGAACTTCATTTATTTTGAGGATATTTTTTAGTTAAAACCCTGAGTGCAAACATAACATCACTGAACATAAATAAGTACACGTGTATTAAAATGACAGCAAAGGGGTCTCTGGTTGTTGTGGAAAATATTATTAGTATTATTTCTGTTACACTGACATCGACTCAAAAATATTCTAAAACACATCAGATTCGTCCCGTCTTTGTTGTTAGCCATTGTAGAAATGTTATTTACATGATGTCATTACCCTTTGACATCACTTCCTGTCATTTCACAAGGGATTATCTCAACAACACTTCAGCTCAGAAGTGTGATTTTTTTTAAATTTGTGATTAATATCTTTCCAAAAATGCATTTATAATTATTACAGAAAAATGTTGCGTCACAGGCATTTTAAGTCCCTTTATTCATGTTCATTTTGCTTCCAAGGAGCCAGACTGACTTAATAAATAATAAATACTCCCAATTTCAGAGCCACATTTATCATTATTTTCTTTCTTTCTTTTTTTTTCCAGCTGGTCGTCACTAGACAGACTTGACGAACCACTGGCCCCGTTCAAAGTTTTAACCCAAGGTAAAAGCAGTGTCAATAACCCCGGCGGTGTTACCTCCTGTTCTGCACGCTCCACGCGACGCTTGGCCTCGCGCTCCTCTTCTGCTGCCTGCGCCTCGTCCCTCCGCACGCGCGCGACGTTGTCTTTGTTGCGGACATGCCAGCTCTTCTTCGGGAGGATGTTCATCGTTGTCTAGGTGGTCGTGATGCTAAGCTAATTATCTTTGGTCCAGTTAAGATAAAACACTCAGTTTGGTCAATAAACCTGTCGGTTTGTTTTAAGAAAAAGCATATAACGAGAAAAAAGACGAGAAGGAATTTCATCTAAAAGTCATTGCTCATTTATAACTATCCATTTGCTATCAATTTTGGAGAAGCTAGCAATACTCCAAGTATGCTACTTGCCAACTTTACGCTGATGACGCAGCAGCATGAAGAGACGTGGAAATTACAATTTCACAGTAAGCTTTTCAGCACTTTAAGTAAAAAACAAAAAACTATCACCTACATGCTGTGACTGTTCTTAACATATTAAATCCAGTAGCTCTAGCTTGTCATCACAGGAAACAGTCGAGTTAAACAGGAAGTAAACAAAAGATGGAGGTTGAAACAGTTACACAATCTGGACACTAGGGGGAAATAAAACGCCACTTTCTACATGTCCAGGTAGATCTAAAGGGAATAAAACATTAAAAACAGTATACTGCAGGGGTGGGCAGTCCTGGTCCTCGAGGGCCACAGCCCTGCATGTTTTACTTGCTTCTCTGCTCCAACACACCTKDWTTGAATGAATGGATGATTATCAGGCTTCTTGCAGTATGGAGGACCGAACTGACATAATTAGAAATAAAAGCAGAATTATATAAATGAACCACTAAATAAATACATTTGAAATGCACCAATTAAAATAACAAAGGAGAACTTTATCTCATGTTTTTTGTTTGAAATGACTTTAATATTTATTTTTCCAGGTTAGTATAAATTAGTATATATA